TCCAAGGCCCATCCTCTTGGCCCACACACTGTCCAGTCTCTTAGGTGGTAACTTGATGTGCAAGAATACCTCTCAGTGTAATGAAAAGATAGAATGTTTTAAATGCTAGCAGGACATTTGGACTAATTGCAATGGCTGTATGTAGACTGCCACAGAAAAGATCAAATCACTGTATTATTTCTCTCATGATTATCAAGTAGTGTGACAGTCTTATCTCCCCTATCATACCCGTGTTCAGTACCTAAAGTTCAGCCTTTTCTCTATACCTTCCTCTCACTGCAGCTTCTACTCCATTCCATTCCAAACCTTGACTTTATCTGAGGTGCCTACATCATCTCTTTGTAAAGAAATAAACAAAAACACTATTTTATTACTGATGGATGTGCAAAACAATTTTCCTAACACCTATTCTTCAATCCTCAAGCCATACACGTGCCTCCCCCATGCCTCACCCTCGCTTTACCAAATATCTGCCCCTCACTTTGTCTCAGAAACCCACCCCATTCCTCATCCTGTATAAAATCACTTTTTCGAGACATATGAACGAATAAGGTGTAAACCAGATATCCCTAAACCTGACATTCAAGCTACCTATAATCTTCAGCATCTCTCTCACCGTCTACCCACTGAGTCCCTCGACCGTTGTGTTGTCATTTATTTATTTTTTAAAATAGACTTTTAATTTTAGAATAGATTTATATTTACAGGAAAGTTGCAAAAATAGTACAGAGTTCCCAAGTTCCCTGCGTGCAGTTTCCCCCATTGTTAACATCTTACTTTCATTTAGTGCATTTGTCACAATTAAGGAACCAATTATGATACATCATTATTCACTAAAGTCCACACTTTATTCAGATATCCTTAGTTTCAACAGAATGTCCATTTTTGTTCCAGGATCCCATTAAGGACATCATATTACATTTAGTAGTCATGTCTCCTTGGGCTCCTCTGGACTGTGACAGTTTCTCAGACTTTCCTTGTTTTTTATGACCTTGATAGTTTTGAGTAACACTGATCAGGCATTTTGCATAATGTTCTTATATTGGGGTTTGTCTATTGTTATTTTCATGATTAAACTGAGGTGAAAGATTTCGAGGAGGAAGATCACAGAGGTAAAGTGCCATTTTCATCACATCATATCAAGGGTCCATACTATCACCCTGATTTAGTGTTGAAGTTAACTTAATCACTGGCTGAGGCAGTGTTTGTCAGATTTCGCCACTATAAAGCTACATTTTTTTTCTTTCTCTTCTATTGTACTTTTTGGAAGGAAGTCACTATGAGCAGCCCACGCTTACAGAGCAGAGAGTTGTGCTATACCTCCTTGAAAGCTGAGTATCTACATAAATTACTTGGAATTCTTTTGCATGGGCGGTTTGTCTCTTTTCCTTCATTTATTTATTTATTCAATTATTTATATCAGTATGGACTCATGAATATATTTATTTTATACTTTGGGATATAGTTCAACACTACTTCATTTTGTTGCCGATATTGTTCCAGCTTTGGTCATTGGGAGCTCTTTCTGTTGGCTCCTATGTCCCTTTGACAAACCCCCATCAGTGCAATTTTAGGGGAGCACTTTCTTACCCTCTGGCACTGCAAGATACTCCAGGTTCATCTTGTGTATTTCCTGCCCTGCTCCTAGAATCAGCCATTTCTCCAGGGAGTGCTGGTTCCTTTCATTGGAGAATAGTATTAAAAACCAGGATCTCGGTACTAGGTGTGTTCATTGCTACTAGACTGTTCACTTTATTTTTTTAACAAGTAATGCACAATGAAGATATCTCTGACCCTGACCTCAAACCATCCCTGACCCTCCATATATTCTGTAATCTCATTCCAACGTAGACCCCAAGCCCACCCTTATGTAAAATCAGTGCTTTCTACTACCGAATAATACAACAAACATTTCTGATACATATTCCATCACTAAGAGAGTACCCTCTGATTATATGTAAGAACCTCTATATTTCATGGCCAAGTAGACACATATCCCCATCACTCCTTCCCTGACCCCACCCTATCTGTACTATGTACTGTTTTTCTGACGAAGTAATTATAAAGTACTCATGCTTAGTACATCCCTTAATCTAACGCTCTTTGCCCTCTCATCCACTGCTGACTTCACCTCTATCCCTGACTTCAATCCAGTACCTTATCCTATGTGAGATCACTACTTTCAATGATCAATTATATAGGAAATAGAAATCCCCCAACCCTCACAAAATTCCTGATCCATTCCATCCCTAACTCCTATCCTAATACTCATATAATAATCATCGTAATAAAAATGCCGTTTTATGAGCAGCTAATATGAAAAATGGACATCACTGACACTCACTTGATCCATTACTCCTACCAAACCCCTTTTCAGCTATAGATCACTCTTTTTTGATGTCCAAGTAATGTTCAAAATAAACACCCCTGCTTTCATCACAGCACTGACCTTGATGCCAACCTTACCTTTCACCAACTATTTGACACACACCTGCTCCTTTATCCCCTGTAATTCTGGTGATTGTGTGACGAGCAAGTAATATGAGAAAGAAATATCCTTAATTTTGAATTCACCCCTAACCATCATCCTATTTAAAATTGCTCTTTTACTATTAGTAATATTATAAACACAAATCTCTGATCCTCATTCATGCTATTGACAGCTGCTATGCAATTCTTTCATTTAAGTAAAACTACTACTTTATATTATCAAGTATCCCCCCCAAAAAAGGTCTGTGATACGCACCATATGCACAATCCTTATCCATCACTATCCCTTAATCACATCTGTCACTCAGTTTTCCTGATCTTTATGTCATCTCTGATAACCATGACATTCTATGCCTTATGTAAATTCCCTATTGTCCGAAATTACCAAGTAATGTAGCGAACAGAACTGATTCTTGTATACCTCGTGCTGACTTCATCCTAGCCCACATCATCCCTTACTATAAAGAAAATCCCCATAGTTTTAAAAATTAAGTAATGTGAGAAACAAGCATTCCTGATCCTTACCATGTCTCCAAAACAAACGTGATCTTATACTCTCTGTAAAAATCACTTTTTAAAATTAGCAAGGAAAATGTGAAACAGTCTTCCTCAACTCTTATTCAATCCCTGATCAATTCTCCCTTTCTGACACTCTTCATAGCTCTTCTTTATCATATCATTCTGCTGACAAAACCCCTCAACCTCATCTCATCCTTACTCAGAAACTCCTACCTAAATCCTCTGCACTATACCATATCTTACAGTATTAAAAAATTACTATTCTTAACTACCAAGCAGTTTGAGAAGCTGTCCTTGATACACACCTAATCCAAGACATTCACCCTAACCCTGACCCTCTTACCTTGGAATAGTATTTGTTTCCAAAAATAAAAATAAGTATGAGCAAGGGAAATCTTTCATTCTATGAAAAATCCCAGTATCGTTACCAAGCAATATGCATTATAGTCCAGAGACTTGTAACGAGGATTATAACACGAGGTCCGAAGCAGTGCAGGTGCTCAGTAAGTGTTAAGTGAATGGAAATAAATAGACAACTGCACTGATGAAATGATTGATTTCATCCACTGGAGTCAAAGGTGGCACTTTCTGCAGAGTTCTCTGTTGGCATTTGTGATCATGGATGGACATAATTTAGCTACATAAACACGAATCAGAAAAAGAAAACAGATCACCCTGGGAGAATGTGGTTAGAGGTGTTAATGAATGTGTGTGTGTGTGTGTGTGCGCGCGCCTGTGTAGGGAACTTCACCTTTTTCTTCCTCTCTCCTTTCTCTTCCTCTCCTTTACACTTTTTTTCCCCTGTAACTGCTATTTCTAACTGTCCTTTGTGGTTCCTCACCCTTGTCTTCTAAAACCTGGCTGCAGAGGGAGGAACAATAGCTCGTCCCCACTCCTCCCTTCCCTGGGACCCTCAGATGACCAGAACCTGGACAATTATTATTTTAAGGATACGGCTATTGACCACGCTGGGAAACAATCAGGGCATAGCAGGGCTATCACTTGGAGAAACAAGAGATTTAAAAGAACCTAACAGAGTTCTGAAAATTGACATCCTGTTTCTGTGGTTCCCAGCTTCATTTTGACTCCATGATAGTCCCTGAACCAAGATCCCAGTGGTCTCTTGCATTCTCCTTGTTTTCCCCTCCTCTCAGCTTGCTGTCTTTTGAGAAACTAAGACCCAAAGATAGAAAGTAGTTAGAGCTCCAGGAGGTGCCCCTCGATTCTGTGTGATAGTGGTCCCAGAGGCTCTCTGGAAAGGGCGAGCTCCTACCCTCAATTCACTAGGCCTCTGCCTTTTATTCAGGAATGATTTCAGTTGGTTTCATGTAAGATCACATCATAGATAAGGTTATAACTTGTGCCTAGAGATCATTCTAATATACTTCTGGTGCCTGGCCTAACATAAATACTAGTCTGGACCATCACATACTTACTTCAGTGAAGCTATCCCCACCGAGAGGTAGTACACGTTTGACCACAGTGAGGTTTCTAGAAAATGCTCTTTCTCTAACTAGAAAATAATGTGGGTGAAGATATCTTCAGTTCTAGAGGTAGGGGACAGCAAACTCTTTTTTTTTCTTTTTTTAAAGATTTTATTTTTTTCCTTTTTCTCCCCAAAGCCCCCGGGTACATAGTTGTATATTCTTCATTGTGGGTCCTTCTAGTTGTGGCATGTGGGACGCCACCTCAGCATGGTTTGATGAGCAGTGCCATGTCCGCGCCCAGGATTCGAACCAACAAAACACTGGGCCGCCTGCAGTGGAGCACGTGAACTTAACCACTCGGCCACAGGGCCACCCCTGCAAACTCTTTATGTAAAGGACCACATAGTGAATCATTCAAGCTTTGCAGGCCATATATGGTCTCTGCTGCATGTTCTTTATTTTTTTAACAACCCTTTAAAAATGTAAAAACTGTTCTTAGCTTTCAGGCTTTACAAATATAGGACACTGGTCAGATTTATTCTGTGGGCCATTGTTTTCCAACCCCTGTTTAGCAAATCAGTCTTATTTCATAAATCCATCAAAGCCCTCCACCCTTCGTGGGCTTTCCATAGTGCCAGTGCAGGTTTATGATGAATTTGCCTTCTCTGATGCCCTGAAAAGAGACTATGAGGGAGGAGTAAAGTTTCGTTTGTACACATGCATACCCAATAGTCCCAAGATGCTTATTGAAAAGGCAGCCATTTCCCCATAGATTTGAAAGGCTACCACTGTCATATATTACTTGTCTCATTCAGATAGCTATGGATTTCTCATCAGTAAGTATGGAGGCTAGAAGACAATGAAACATATTCTTGAAAGTGCTGACAGGAAAAAATATCAACCCAGAATTCTGTATCTCTTGAAAATATCCTCCACAGATGAAGGTGAAATAAATATTTTCAGACAAAAGAAAACTAAGGTTTTTTTGTCAGAAGCAGACATGCGCTGAAATAAATGCTATAGGACATTCTTCAGGCTGAGGAAAAAAGGACACCAGAAGATTACGAAGATCTTCAGGAGCCAATGAAGAACATCAGAAATTTTGAAAATCTGGTAAATACAAAAGACTGTATTTCTATTCAGTTACTTTAAAATACACAGGAATGATTAAAACAAAAATTATAGCATTATTCTGTGTGAAGTTTATAATGTATATAGATGAATTACGTATGACAATTATAGCATAAAGGATACTGGGGCATGGTAAATCGATCATCATTGTTGTCAGGATGCTATATTATGCATTAAGTGGTAAAATTTCAACTCTAGGTAGATTATGAAAAGTTAAGGACACATATCGTAAGTTCATTTTTTTCATTATTTGTCCATTTTCTAATTTATTAATTTTTGCTCGTATATTTGTTATTTATTTTCTTCTGCTTACATTGGGCTCTTGATTTTGGAGCTCCTTAAGATGGAAGTTTCAATCATTGGCTTTAAAACATTCTATTATTCTAATATAACTGTCTTAGAGCTATACATTTATATCTGTATATTGCTTTACTTACCCCTCACAAATTTTGATGTATTTTTATTTTTTTCAGTTCAAAATATTTTAAAATTTCCCTTGTATTTCAATTTTTTACCCCATAAGTCACTTAGAAGTGTATTGACTAATTTCAAAATATTTGGAGATTTTTCCAGATATCTGTTTTTTTAATTTCTAATTTAATTTTGGTGTGGTCTTAATAATTTGGATCCTTTCAAAATTTATTGACACTTGTTTTTATTCCCAAATATATGGTCTTTATTGGTGATTGTTTTATGTGCACTTAAAGAGAATGCATATTTTTCCATTGTGTAGAGTGTTTCTATAAGTCCATTATAATGATTTGGTTGATACTGTTGTTCAAGTCTCCTCTATCCTTACTGATTTTCTGTCTACTTGCTCTTATAATTACTGAAAGAGGAGTATGAAATTGCCAACTATAATTGGGGATTTGTATATTTCTTCCTTTAGTTCTGTCAATATTTGCTTAATTTTTCATTTCATATAATTTTTCAGTTTTAGAATTTCCACTTGGTTCTGATTTATAGTTTCTATTTGTTTATTTAATTTTCTATTTTGCTCTGTTATTATGGTCAGATTTTCCTTTAAATACTTGAATGTATTTATAAGAGCTCTTTTATAATCCTTTTTTATTCATTCAATTTATTCAGCTATATCTGGGCCAGGTTCTGTTGACTAACTTTTCTCTTGGTTATGGGTCATATTTTCATGCCTCTATGTATAGCTAAAGTTTTGGATTGCATACACACACATACTCCTACAAACACATAAGGGAATCTTCTTCAGACTTCATAAAGACTAAATTCCAATCTCTATATCTCACCTCATTGATTTAGAGGAGAAAATCAAATTATCGGACCTTGGAGATCAAACCCTCTCAGGCTGCTAAGAAAAAGAAACAGAAAATGAAAGACTGTTTTCTCTACTTTACCTACAACCATAAACACATTTGATTCTGAAATGTGAATATGAACAAAGCGAAGTTTCTGTCTTCTAAGAAAATTACTAGTAGGATCTACTTCTCAAGAATACAAGGTAAAGCCTACATGTTTTAATTATGCCTGTCTTAAGGATCCAAATTTTGAAAACAAATATGTAAGTTTTGAAATTCACAGAAAATTAGAAAAAATGGTCTCAATATAAATTTAATGAAACTGCAAGTTATAAAGGATGATTTATTGGAAGATGCTATTTTTCCATAAAAATAGACACAGTTCTATGTACATGCTGGAATGATTAAATGTTCTACCTTTAATGGTCATGGAAACAAAAGCTGTGGGCAAATTATTACTTAACATTAAAATCCAGCCTTCTTAGGTGTATTTAATGACATTTGAAGTGGCCTTGCTATAAAAGACCTGAGAAAAGCATGGAAAAAGGAAAAATTTCAAACCACAAGAAAATCCCATATATAGATCATGTCAGTTGAAATTTATAACAAAACAACCCAGTGCACAAGCACAGAAACACACATATACACACACATACACATGCGCACAAACACAATGCATATAGAAGAAAGGGCAGAATGCAATAGATTGAAATATCAATTGAGTTTATGTCATCGAGAGTATCCGCTCTTTCCTGTTTTATAATTCCTGGGTTTATCATTTCTTTTCCAGATGCACATATTATCATTAGAATTTTTTTGTCAAGAACAAGGGAAATTTATGAGTATTCATTATCCAATGGTGAGTGAAGAAACAGTGACACAAAACTCCACCTACAGTATAACCAGGATATAATTGAAGAAAATAAATAATGATGTGTTGATCTATGGATGAATGTTTGTGTGTTTCTAGCACCTTGTGAGCAAACAGAGGAGTTTATTGATGAGCAGTAGGCTATATTTATTTAGTTAAATAATATCAGCTACCATGGATGGTCGTACATCTTGTTTACAACAGTTGAAGACATACACCCATTAAGGCTGCCATAGTAGTTCCTTTGGGATAAATTGATTTGAGATGAAGTGTTTCCATATGTCTTTCAGAGATTTGTGTATTCTGCAGGATTCTTCACAATGTTTGTATTATATTGTAATTCAAGAGCAAATACAGAATAAATATGTGCAGAAAAAATGATTGGTGACAACTTGCTGTGTTGACCACACGAAACCTAAGGAATATGTATCTCTGAGCATGCACAACAGGAGGACTGAAGATACGACAATATTTTACAAGTCCTTGTCTGTGTGAGGTGGCATTACCTGTGACTTCCTTGTACTTCTTTGTAAATGGCTGTTGTACCTCTACTTATTGTTAAAAAGCGTGTCTAATTTTGAGAAATTTCAAATGTAAGAGGCTACTCTTTAAAAAATAACCGGTATTTCAAAAAATATCTAATGAAGTTGGGAAAGTGCTCTAGCCACAGTCAGTGCAGAAGATATATTTGAACCCTGGAGGTATGAAGGAATTTGAATTTTATTTTTTAAAAGTAGTGTATTATATAAGTATGAGGTAAGAATGAGATTTTAAATGTCTTTATTCTTGTTGGGATCGAATTGCCATTATTTTTGGCCTTATGATTTCTGAAAATTTGAACAGTTTGCCTGCAGTAGGTATTTCTTTTGTAAATCTCTTGGATCATAAGGCTCTTCCTACAGGAGAATAAAGAAATTCCAAGTTCTCCAAATATATATATGCATGGAAATACGTATATGGAAATTATATAAGATAATGACGAAGATTTTCTTTAAAACTACCTTCAGTATGCATTCAATTATGTTTAAAACGAAACAAACATACATATTAGTACATTCGTATATATCCATCTATATGTGTACACGTGTCAAAATTATATATTTTAAATTATGGTGATTATTACAATAAGAGTGCAATTAAACTTCACCCAAACTGCACTTTTTGTGTCCATATATGCATGTGTGTGAGTTTGTGTTCTGTATGTATGTATCTGTGTTTGTACATGTATGTATATATGTATTCATATACAAACTGGCATTTAGCGTCACACACAATGAGTTTACATTAAAATGGGATTTATTCAGGTGTCATGGTTTGGATCCTATTTTCACTTCTGTTTCCTGGACAGTTTGTCATATTCATGAAAAATTTTCAAGACAATTTTTAGTAAACAAATAAATATAAAGGGAAACATTGATGAAAGATTATTGGTGACTATAAAAAATCTGAATGCTTTCACCTTGAAGCTTTGCTAGAATACACACTTGGATCACAATGTTAGACTGATGTAGACATAAACCTTATCTAGACAGTAATGTAATCTGTTGTTATATTTTTTGATAATAAAATGTTGAGATTAAATTTTAGATAAAAATGTAGGTTACATTTTTGAGAAGGGGGAAAAAAACGTTATTTTCTGAAGCAAACATGGGCGGTTGTGATTCAATATTTGTTTAAGAATACATATGTACACATGTTAGCATAATAATGATTAGAAAATATAGGTCTTCAAATCATGATACCCAAAGAGTGTCATCATAGGCATTAAATTTCCAGTTGTTACATAAGTGTCTTATGAACTGTACATTTCTTCACTGAGATTCTAATATTTTTAGTGAATGTGGCAATCAAAAATCTCTTTGCCAATGTTTTATTTACTAAAAATCAGGTCTTGCAAATTTTTCATGAACGTATGGTCCAAACCACAACATACAAATAAAAACTTATGGTTGTGTGTGAAGCTAACTATACACATTTGTATGTGTACTTTGAAATGAGTGCATGAGGATATGGAAACTGAGTTTTCATGTGTATGTTGAAACATAATCCAAATGTTTATCAGTGGTCCTAACAGGTACTGTTTGTGACAGTGCTTACTCTTGATCAGCACATGATTATTTTCTGAATCCTTCGCAAGCACCGTGTCTTAGTTACTTATGAGAAAACATTGTATGACTGATTCCTAAGACATAATCAGTGACACACACACACACAATAAAGTCATAGGAAGCCACTGAAGGTCCTGTAATGATGTAGGTACCTGCCTGTTTTCTAATGTTACATGATGAAACCATGAGGCTAAATCATGTCCCCTATGGCTGGAATTTATACATATTTGAGTGTTTGTATCATTCCAAGTGGGCACTGTATAGCACGCACTCTTGAGAACAATCTAGAGACCTCTCTTAGGGTTCCAGACAAATAGCTGCTTCTCTCTAAATATACCTAGGCCTAGTGCCCAGGCCAGAAAATGGAGGACTCCCAGGGAACCACGTGTACTGGTGCCTAGATTTGCTCTTCTCCAAGCCCTGAAACCATTTTCTTTTCCATCTTAGGTCTGGATCCCCCAGCTTTTCCCCTGATATCCCAAGACAATTGGATACAAAGAGAAAACACTGGCAATATAATGATGAGTGAAGAGAAAGTAGAACTGCACAGACTAGGTAAGTGTAAACTGAGTTCTTGAACCGAAAAGATGCCTGATGAGAATATAGGTTTAGATCCCAGTTTGACTGCAGATAGAAACCAAAAGCAAAATCACAATAGTGCGTGCAGGTTTCTTCAAACTGGGCAAGTAGCAAGGCAGCCATATTTCCTGCCGCCTCTGTCTCTTGGTCGCATTTTTTTCAGACCAGATGGGCGGGAGAAGAGGGCATGGGGGCAGTGTTAGGTTGAATTTCTGGAGCAACACTGCCATCGTGAGGAAATCTCAGGAAAAAGCCCCAAGGATTCCTCTCTGAAACGACTTTTAGTTTGGAAAGGTCCATTCTGTGGGGAGGCTAATGGGCCAGGCCCCAAGCCAAAGGTCAGTGCCTCCTCCAGAGAACTACCTGGGGCTCTGGACAAAGTGTGGGATCCAGGTGTGGGAGCTTGCCAGTGGGGAGGCAAGACAGCCAGCAGCTGCCAGGAAGTCCAGGCACAGGAAGTCATGGGGTGGGGTCTTGGTATTCTCCCAGTGTGGGCGGGACCAGAGGAAACCACTTAGAGACAAAGTACTGGGCCTGTGAGTATTTTTCTCTCTCCCAGCCCTTCAGAGCACGTGGTGTTCCTGTGCTCTAGGACTTGGGCCCTTTTTGGTAGCAGAGTCTGAGAATAGAGGACAGGACAATTCCTGGTGGCTTATAGCAAGACCCAGTGTGCTTGCTGGAGGTCTCAGGTGCACCCAAATTGGACCTGGGAGAGCCTGAAGAGAAGTGGAATCACCCAACCAAGCCAAGAAGTACTTCTGCTAGGAGAGCAGATCTCGCACAAACAGATGGGAACCAAAAACAGGTGAAGAGGATTGAAGATGAACCTACATTTTAAAAGTCTGTCTGCCGGAGGTGGCATTACCTGTGACCTCGCTTCACTTCTTCATACATGGCTGTTGTAGCAGGTACATTGTAAAGAAGCATGATTATTTCTAGAAATGCAAAAACAGGTGGCAAAATTTTAAAACGTGTCAGAATTCCAAAGACTATTTTATGATGCTTCAAAAAGCATTCAAGCTACAAGGTAGGAAGACTTGTTTTAATGATCAAAGAGAATTTGAATATTGTTTTTTAAGTCAAAGACATTTTTTAAGTGGTTATTTCTTCTGGTAGAGGTACCATTTGTTTTCTACTTTAGAATTACTCAAAATTTGAATGCTTTGCCAGCAGCATGTATAACTTTTGTAATTTCTTGGAATAGAAAGATCTTTTAGAGTAAAATATAAAAACGTTTTCAAGCACTCAGAAGTATATATTGATATGCAAGTATGCAAACGATATAAGGTTGTGCTGAAGACTTTTTGCAAAACTGCACCCAGTATGTGTCCAATCATGTTTAAAGAGAAGCAAACCTGTGTGTGTGTGTAAACATTTATATAGATATAAGTATGTATTTTTATATAATATGTATATATATGTAAACAGTTTCAAATGTTACATATTTACAATGATGGTCAGTGTTGTAGTGAGTATGCTTTTCAACTTGAAATTCTCAGTCGACGTATTTATATTTAAAGGAGACGTTAATGAAAGATTATAGCTGCATGTAAAGGGTGTGAATGCATCCACCTTAAAGTTTTCTTAGGATACACATCTGGGTAACTGAATTTGAGAGATACAATTTCAACCTTAATTTATTGAATTCTGTTTTCTAAAATAAAGTTTCCTAAACTTTAAGATAAAAATTTGCTGTAAATATTGAGAAGTATAAAAAGGAAACCCTAATGTTCTGGGGCATGAGTAGTTAGTGTCTGTTCCAATATTAGAGTATGTATATGTCATTGTATTAATGATTAGGTAAGGCAAATTTCAAAATCAAGATTCCTGAGGGTGGCATTATAGGTTTTTTATGTCCTGTGTATGAATTTAAAAAGATGAAGTAAGCTAATTAATATTCTTTAATTAATGGGTCAATCAAGTAGTTCTTTGCAAATGTTTTATTATGTAAAATCCAGGTCATGCAAATATTTCGTAATAATTTAAAGCTACCCCGGAATCAGAAGTGAAAATTTGGGATCTAAAACATGTTGCATTTATAAATCCAATTTAAATGTAAATTTATTGTAGTTTCTTACTGTAAATATAGAACTATGTGTGTGTTGAAAGAATGGGAGTAAATATGCAAAAGGTTATCGGTGCTTAATGCAATATTTTATGACAGCACTTTTACTCTTGATCAGTACATGGTTGTTTTTTTTTTAATCCTTTGCAAGCACCATGTGTTGGTTACTTATGAGAAAACTGTAAGACTGATCGTTAAGACTTAATTAGTAGCATACACATACATAATAATAAAATCATAGGAAACCATTGAAGGTCATATAATCACAAGCATGGAAACATACTTGTGTTTCAATGTTAAATGATGAAACCATGAGACAAAATCATGTCCTTTCATCCTGGAATTTATATGTTTATGTATGTGTTACTCCAGGTGGGACATTGTATGGAATTCAGACTTGAGAGATATCTGGACCCTCCTCTTAAGGTTCCAGCCAAATCGCTGCCTCCCATTCATTACACAAAGCCTAGAGCCCACTCAGAAAATAGAGGAGGACTCCCAGGGAACCAGGCAGTGAGATAAATCAAGAACCACATGGCCTGGTCCCTAGGTTTGCTCTTCTCCAGGCCCTTATTTCCATTATTTTCTTTACTCTTAGCCCTGGATCCGTGAGAATTGCCCATTGAAGCAAATAACATGGGAAAATGTTGGGGATCAAGGCTGAGTGAAGAAGAGCAGACCTTTGGTAGAATGGAAATGGAATTCTTGAAAAGAAAACATGGCTGATGAGGTTAAGTGGTTTAGGCCTCAGTTTGATTTCTAGGGAAACCAGGAGCAAAAGTACATCTGTTTGAGCAAATTTCCTGCAAACAGGGCAATTAGCTGGGCAGCTTTGTTTCCTGACTCCTTTGTCTCTTGGCTTTTTTTCATATTGAATGGGCGGGAGTAGATGGGAAGGGCTGGGTTAATTGGCTTTTCTAGAACGATACTGCCACCAAGAGGAAGTTTTTGACAAAACCCAAAGTTGTTAGAACTCCTATGAGGCCTAGCAGTTGATAAAGGTTTGGCCTTTTGTGAGGCTGAGTGGACGCTGGCCCTGAGCTGGGCCTCCTTCCCTTCAAATCTGAAGCAGTTGGGTTTGGCTCTCCTTGAGGCCATTTTTGGTTAAGGGTAGCCAAAGAGGATTTGGAGACATTTGAGAAAGCATGCCTCAATGGTCTGGTACCCTATGAAGATATAAGGTGACCATTGACCTCTTCACCCGACTTCAGCTAAGCAAATAGCAAAGAAATCCTCTATCAGATGAGCTAAGCTGCCTACATTATTGTAATAGTTTGATTTGACCATATTCTAGACTGGGGAAGCTAGATGTGTGAAGACAGTGCCCCATATCTGAAGTTAGAATTGTATGTGACAGAAGAGGTAGCCCCAGTCCTGGAACTCCTCAGGCTCAAGAATTTTGGGTTCACATATTTTCGTTTACATTAAGACACTACATTTGGCCAGGGAGTGGATGGATGCCTAACACAACAGCACCTTTCTGAGTCCCAGGAATTTAAGCATGACACCATGACCAGTAACAGGAGATTGTAGCTATTGCCAACCCTAACTACCGCTCAACCATTGACACTCATCTCAGATCAAAAGCTGTTTGAAAATGAAAAGTTAAAGAAAAAACCCACCCAGTAGGAAAGGTAGCAAAGGAAAGAGCAGACACTTCCCAGACAATTAAAGGCCGTGCAGCACAAGTCTATGAGCAGAGATTTTCAAATTCACCAGTACCAAAGTAAATTGCAATTCAACATGTTCTCCTATAATACCCTTCACTCTTCATCATAACCCTGAGCAAGCCTCTGAAAATGAAGCTATTAATATCACTCAGTTTGTGTAATGACTGTATAATTGGGCAAGCTGCTGCCAGGTGAGAAGCATTGTGAATTGGCTCAACTCTTTGGAGGTCAACTGGTCAACATCAGTTAATCTCTCACATGGGAATACCCTTTGTCCAGAGACTCTGCCTCTCAAAAGTGATCATACAGCCATATTCCCACAGTAAAGCAGAGAGGTGGGGCCAAGGAAGACCACTGAGGTTTCCTTTGCCATAGTGGATAGTGGGTAAGGGTCAAGGGTCCATTTTTCTGGGTTCAGATTTAGCTACAGCAGGCAGTCTTCGTAAGCCTTTGGAAAGATTCAAATCCATTCTCTTGAGTCCTTATCAGGAGAGATGTCCATACCTTTGACTCAGGGAAGAAAAAACAGTGTTGGAACTTTAGAATCAAACTATCCTAGGTGGCTAATACAAGGAAAATGAAATGGAAATATAAAGTCTGTCTTTCTCTACTTACTACATACATGCTTAATTCGAGTTGAACACACAAAAAAGTATGAATTCAAAAAAGTGAATAGGCACAAGGAAAGTATCTGGACAGCAAACAACCAAACAACTAACAGTGTCTAACTTTCTAGAGTGATGTTCCCAATGGCTTGCCTTCAATTTTTAACCTTAGACTTGTCTGATCTGGAAATGTTCAAAGTGAGAAAAGCTTGCATTTGAAATTTAAAAAAAAAATCAAGAAACCAACATCATCCCAATATGCAATTAAAAGAGTATATGTCTCAAGATCTATTTTTCTTTTAAAAATGTGTACAGGTCTATGTACCTGCAAGATTTAAAGGCTACACTCTTAATCGTTATGAAAACAGAATGGTATTTCCAAATTCTGCTTAACAGACCATCCCGTTTTTCTGAAGCATATTTAATATTATGTGAAGAGACTTATGTGATGATATAAGACCTAAGAAAACAATGATTGAAGGAAGCAACTCAAACTGCAAGGGTATTCCATATGTATCATGTAAGTCAAAATCCATAACAACAAACCCTGACAGCCTTTATGCATGTGCCCACATATGTACAATTATATAATAAACATAACATAGAAAAATCAGAATGCAATAGATCAGGCATCAATGATATATCTATTGTGTTCCTATGAGTTAGAGTATCATTTCTTTACTGCTTTATATTTGCTCAATTTACGGATTCTTTTCCAGATGCATATTATTCTTATGATTTGATCAAGAATAAAGGAATGCTATGAGATTTAACCATAAAAAACTATCATGTTGCTCATGAATAGTTAATGATATTGGCAAGTGCCCACTGTCCAGTGTTGACTCAAAAATTCATGGCACCAAACTCCATGTGCAGTGTGACTAGGATGGATTTGGAGAAGAAAAGTGGAAATGTTTAGTGTGTGTGTGTGTTTAGCTCAGTGCTGAGGAATATAGGGAGTATAATGAGGACATGTAGACTAAATCTATTTAGTTCTCATGAATAGTTGTATATCATTTTTATAGGATTTAAACTGACATACACATCAAGCTGTTAATAGTGGGTCCCTTGAGAAAGAAGGATTTGGGATAAAGTGTTTCCATTTGTTCTTGATAGAGTTGTATTCCAAGAGATTTTTCAAGAAGCCAATAATATATTTGTAATTTGAGACACTCCCCCCCCCCCCCCCACCACTCCCAGTAAAGTCATAGGAAAGCAATGAAGGCCATTTAATGATATAGGAAAGTGCTTGTGTTCCAAATGTTAAATGCAAGCATGAGACAAAACTCTGAGTAACCTCTGATGGTATATATATCCTGCATGTGGGGCGTTGTATGGCATATAGTGATGAAAGCTATATGGGCCCTCCTTTTAGGGCCCCAGTCAAATGGTTGCCAACAGTTCAACACATAAGGCCTACATCTTTACCCAGAAAATGTAAGAGAATTCCTTGAGAGCTGTAGAGATGAGCCTGGCCAAAGACACATGGGTTAGTACCTAGAGATGCCCCCCTGGTTGAATTTCCAGCATTTTCTTTTTCTGTTTAGGCCGGGATCCTTGAAACTTGCTCCCAGAAGTAGACAACTTGGTAACTTGGGAAAATGCTGGAGATGTAATGCTGAGTGAACAAGAACAGAACTGTGAAGACTAGGCCTCGTGGAACTGAATTCTTGTAAAGACAAGATGC